CAATAAAGATCAGTACCCGTCGCTCTTTATTGTGCACAAATGTGTTCAGTTGTTCAATTATCATAAAACCACTTTTAATAAACGAGGGAGTGATGTATCTTTAGCAGAAAGTATAATAAGGCTATTTGGATTTAGGGTTTGAGTACCAGGATTAAGTAAACATACGCAATTTCGGCCATTTTTCGATTGCGAAAATCGGTCCTCACAGCTGAAATATATTTTTGCCTTTTTTTCATAAACAAAAGAGTATTTTTAAAAACTAACCATATGACGTTTCATACATTGTCATAGTTAACTTAAATTCAAAATTAGAGCGAATTTAAAATTTTGAGCCTTGCCGCGGTATGTTTGATTTTTGTAGAGACTCGCTCTTAAATATCCCCCTACACCGGTCGTGCGGAATCTTCCCCCTAGGAATCTTAAGCAAAGACTCAACTATCTTTATGTTCAACCTCCTACATACCTGGTAAGTCAGGATATTACGATTAGGAAGGCTCTTCCCTCTCGGTTCCTCTGCTTGGCAAATCCTCCTAATATTTTCCACAACCTCATATACCCTTCCACCAAGCGGAGCATAAGTCGTTATGTTCTTCCTCCGACAAAAACTATCCAATTTAAAACTAACACTACTCTTGTCCGGACCATCCACACCTGGCCTATCCCAGCAACCATACTCCGGAACAGTAGGATTCGGGCCAGATACCAGCCCGCACTCATTACACGTCCATTCCCCATTTATACCAACAAACTGATGCTTGAGTCCCCCGAAGCACAACTTCCGGTTGGAACCTCTTCGTCCGGATGCTGAATTGATACCGAACCTTCAAGTCTAATGGAATGCAGGTACTCCTTTTCCGCTATCCTGAAAAGCTCCATGTTCTTCCGATTCTCCTCAAGATCCAAATGCTTCTCACAGGGTTCCATGTTTTACTTATATGAAAAAAGTTTTTGTTCTTAAACCAATTTTAATATTCAAAGGAACATTAAAATTCTAACGGATCTATATAAGCCTCTTCCAGGGTTCCGCCGCTCTTTCCCTCAAGTACTTCGCCTCCTGAAGTAGCACCTGAACGGACACCACATTTGCGGACACGTATATGCTTGGAATTCTTATCAGGGCGTTCAGGTAGAAATGTTCGTCGAGCACCTTTATCGGATCCATGTTTCCTCCTCCGTCCCTATACATCACCGTGGTTTTGTCGATCTTTGCGTACAGGATGGGTTGCTTTCCATCCTGATAGAGGCATCTTACAACATTGGTTCCGGGTTTTCCAACTTGTGCGGTACATTTCTTCTCCAGTATCTCCAGAGCCGATATAAAGTCCCTGTGTATCCCGACCGCTAGCGGGATGGAAAAGTTCTCATTTCCGAACTTATTGTTCTTGTTGATCCCATAGGCCAGGCAATCCTTCAGCCTAAGTAGAAGGGGCCACCGTCCCCTACCACAAGTCCGATCTTCTCGGACGCAAACCTGTTCCCGACGGATTCCTCAAAGTCGAAGGAGTTTTCGGAGAAGTCTTCCGCCCTGGTTATGGTTATGGAAATGGACATTGTTCTTTTATTATACAAAAAACTTTTCCTTTAAACCGTTTGCGGATTAGGTGCGTACATGCTCCAAGAAGACCCCATGAAGACTTCGGAGAAACTTTGGGAAGCGGAAAGTCGACATAGTCCTCCTCTTCCACCACAAGTCCGATCTTCTGAGACCCTAAGCTGTTGCTTTAATCTAACAGGAAGTGGGACGTCATCCCGTTCACCTTCCCCCCGACTTTTTTCAATCTGCCCTCATACGGAATAAACAACAACAGAGTACGACGCTGCCGCTGTTATATAGATAACGGTAAAAGTCACGAATGTCTTTGGGAAGACCTCACAAAAATTTGGGAAAACTTTAAGAAAACTCCAACAGGCGTGCGGGGTGGAGGACTCGGGAAGGCTTAGCAGAGACGGTGCGCGAGAGACATTCCTTACAGTCAGGTGGGGGCAGGAGTGCTGCGCGGGAGGGCGAAGAGATTTCCGGAGACAGAGGGTTCCGAGAGTGGCGCAAGGAAAACGTCCAAAGACAATAAATTTCTAAATACTTGAATAATTCAAATTGCTAAAAATTTGTATAGCAAGACCAGTTTCTAAGGCTTAGTAGCTCTGCCACTGCCCAACTCTTACTGCCTTGCTGAGTCACACCGCTACATTTATCTCCGATAGAGTTTCATCCAAAAAAGGTTAACATAAATTTTGAGGGATGACAATTCTGAGAATTGATATGAAGCAACTGAATGACAGGAAACAAAAATTTATCTGTCAAATATTTTTTCAAGTGTCTGCCACTGGTTCAAGAGCACCAAGTTTATTTCAAGAAAAATTATGTAATATGTGTGTATGATATGTCACTGAATCAGTTTATGAATAAAGTTAATAAAGATTGTGATGAATTTGCTTGAATATTATATGATTTCTCATGCTGCATTTACAAGGCTTCCTGGTTTTTTATTTTTGGGTGGGGGAATGTTCCTATACATCCTTTTCGCATTACGGACTCAATTTTTTTATCCATTTACTGACCAGTTTCAATCAATATATCGACAAGTCACATTTTCCAACAAAATCTACGTTTAATTAACACAGAGTTTTTCAGAAAGTGGGGGTATCATACCCCTCCCCACACCCATCCAGCTCGGTATGGCCCTTGTGTTTGCCACTCTTTTTTGAAAGAATATGACTAATAAATATAATAATGATAATAATAATAATAAACTTTATTTGATGATGGTAAATATACATTTTTACTTTTGAAGGTATTCTACCAAATGGCCCTCTAAAAATTAGATAACCTACATTATTTACAATGCATACAAAGAAGCAAGACTATAGTTGCATTTGACACAGCACATGGGACTATACAACTTATAGTACCAAATACGAAAATAACTGTATTACTAAGCATGCATAATGTTGGGTTTTTTTAGTTTTGACAATATAAGTTATTAAAATTTTTATTCACCGGAATCAAATCAGCCTGGTATTTATCACAGAGACCTGGCTTAAAGCTTCTATTCCTGATAGCGTGGTGAACATTCCCGGTTTTTCAATAATACGTAGGGACCGAATTAACAAATCCCATGGTGGGGTTTGTGGATACGTTAATAACCGAGATGTTAAATATAAACAGATTTTAGAGTTATCTTGCTGCCAGGAGCACGAAATCCTATGGCTGCACCTTAGACCTACTCGTATTCCACGCAAGTTCTCATGTATTATCGTAGCTATAGTATACCACCCCCCTGGAGCAGATGATTATTCTATGAGAGACCATTTATTCCAGTCATTAAAAAAGGCAGAGTCAAAATTTCTAAACTGCGCACTTATTGTTGCAGGTGACTTTAATCGTCTTAATGTTAACAGAATCAAACATCATTTTCAACTGAAACAGATAGTTCAGACTCCTACCTGCAGAAATGCGATTCTCGACATCATCTTAACTAATCTGCACGAGTATTATGAAAAACCTCTAATAATGCCCCCTTTTGGACTATCCGACCACAATACTATCATTTCATCTCCAAAGGAAAGAGCTAAAGATCTAATCTCTAATGGTACCACCTTTAAGCGTAATATTAATCCAAGTTCCAAACGAGCCCTGGGAAGATATCTAAACTCGATTGATTGGCCTCAAATTATTCCATCTACTAATGATTGTGATCAGCTATCGAACATGTTTCAAAACATAGTCCTTACTGGGGTTAATATATTAATGCCGATGACACGATCAAAGAAATGTCCTGTCGATGCCCCCTGGATAACGAACCATTTCAAATCGCTGATCATTGAAAGGCAGAAAGCTTTTTCTACCTATGGCCCTGACTCGAACAGTTTTAAATCTCTTCGAAACCAAGTAAATCGAGAAAGGAAAATCTGTAAATCAAATTATTATAAACTCCGTGTACATCAAATGAAACAAACAGACTCCAAGGAATGGTGGAAAGAAGTAAAGCGTTTAAGTGGAATGGCATCTACTAGATCTAGTGATATTAGAAATATAATAGATATTGAAAACCTCGAACAATTATCTGAGCAAGAATTAGCTAACAAGATCAATGAAGCTTTCTTGGATCCCTTATCTGTATATAAACTGCCCAGCCCCCTTCTTCCTTTCGAGCTAGAAGTTATCAACCCTGAGTTTTTAGTAGTCACTGAAGAAACAGTGTATTCATATTTATCAAAGCTGAACCCTACAAAAACTTGTGGTCCTGATGAAATATCAAATTGGCTTCTTCGTGATTATGCAGCTATATTAGCGTTCCCAATTAGTACCATCTTAAATGCTTCCTTCAAGCAACAACGACTTCCATCGATGTGGAAACTAGCCAATGTTTTACCTATACCTAAATCTAAGACAGTTCAAATCTTAGAAAAAGATCTCAGACCTATCTCACTGACCCCGAGCATATCCAAAGTAGCTGAAGAATGTGTGGTAAATAGATATATGAAACCTGCGGTTCTGAAATCCATCGACTCAAATCAATTTGGTTATATTCCTAATTCTTCAACCACTTTTGCTTTAATAGACATGTTACATCACTGGACCTCAATGCTGGACGGAACAGGAGCAACTATCCGAGTGTTTCTATTTGACTATAAAAAGGCATTCGATTTCATCGATCATAGTATCCTAAGGATCAAGTTAGGTGCTTTAGATTTACCAACTAGTATCATCAACTGGATTATCGACTTTTTATCGGATAGATATCAAAGGGTTAAGCTGTCAAATAGTTGCCTTTCTGAATGGGGCCATGTACCGGCTGGTGTTCCTCAAGGAACCAAATTAGGCCCTTGGCTCTTCTTAATAATGATTAATGATTTGAAGAAACATAGTGAGAACTTATGGAAATACGTTGACGATACCACGGCGTCGGAAGTTGTATTGCAAGGCGAGCACAGTGAAGCTCAACTGATTGCAAATGAAATTTTAGATTGGTCCAATATCAATAGAATGCAATTAAATGCTGATAAATGTAAGGAGATACGAATTTCTTTTGCACGGAATCAACCCGAGCTTAACCCAATTTCAACTGAGAATCAAATCATAGAAGTTGTATCCGATTTTAAAGTGCTAGGTCTTAACATTAGCAACAACCTTACGTGGAATAAACATATCACTGAATTAGTCAAGAAAGCCTCCAAAAGGATATATTTCCTTATTCAACTTAAGAGAGCAAAAATCCCAATACAAGAACTAATCGCATTTTACATAACCTGTATAAGATCTGTGTTGGACTATGCTGTCCCGGTTTTCCACTACAGCCTACCCAAGTATTTAAGTCAAGATTTGGAACGAGTCCAGAAACGCGTATTTGGAATTATTTATCCCCATTTGAAATATGAGGAAGCTTTAAATCTCAGTGGAATTGAACATCTTTCCACTCACCATCAAAACAGTTGCAAGAAATTGTTTAATGCAATTATCAAAGATTCTAATCACAGTCT